CCCCAGGAAGGGCTGTCAGGCATCGGGGAAGCCATGGGCTCCCCAGAAGTCTGCGCTGCCTGCCACCATGCTCCCGTGCTCCACTGTGAATCTGCACATGGTCCCCTGCCAACTCGTGTCTTAAGAACCCACTCCCAAATCCTCTCTGCGTTGTGTTCCTTAGAGCACTGCTTTGCATAAGAGTCTATTTCTTGGAAAAGATCAGCAGAGGAAAAATAGAACAAAAGGGGCTCTGATGGCTTCGGCATAAGCCACGCGAGCGTAACTGGCAGCACTGGTGGGAGGGGCGCATGTCTTTCCGACGGGGTGAGACATGTGGACTCCTCGGGGAGGGGCTAAAAACCTCATGGGAAGATGGCCCACAGCCTGGCAGGTCTGGGGACAGCTTTGCGGATGAGAGGAATAGGCTGCGTGCTTCCCCAGCCTGGCCGCTCATGGCTGTCCAGCTTGGCGCAAGCTCGCATGGCCTGCCAGGTTTGGGGACAGCGGCCACCTCCTCTTTTCCAGCAGAGGCTGGAGGGACACCCCACTGACCACCTCCCCTCCTGCTTGCACTTTGCAAGTTTTTCACTTGCTTCCTTAGATCCTTCTGGGTTTCTAGTTTGCAGCTAGCTGCTTGCAAAAAAAAAAACAAAAAAAACCATGCACAGCAGTTGGCTGCACCATCTTAACTGTGTGTGTGTTGGACCAGGGTGTGGGGCTGCACTTTCCAAGTGCTGTGAGATGGGCTGGCTGGATCGTGGTGAAATTCGGAGCTTGGGCCTCAACAGACTCATAGGGGAGTAGAGGTCACCTCTTTGGGAATGTCTAAGGTCTGAGGCGTGGTGCTCGGGTGGTACAGGCGCTCACAGTGACATGCTCCCAAGCGACCAGTAGATGGTGCTCTAACAACAGGAAACTATGGCTCTGCTTCTCCTGGGCTGGCAAGCTTTTAGAAACCGGTTTCCAAGCAGTTATGATGACCAGTTGCTGCTTTTCTACATTTCCATGGGTGGGTCTTTAAGTGGACAGTGGAGTGAGGGACACTGGACCCAGAGTGCCACCAAGTTCCCTTACAGAGAGCATCACGACAAGGACCCGATCCCAGGCTTTTTCTAAGGATCCTCCTGGGTCTCGAGGACAGTACACGTGTTTCTGGTTAAGCATTTTCCCCACGTCGTCCCAGGAGCATTTGGCCACCAATCAGATTCAACTTGAGGATGGAAAGCACAGCGTTCCCATAGGCTCAGCGTGATGGTTTAGTTTCTCCTCTGGACGATGAACAGTTTGGAACTGATACTATTGCTGCTCAGAAAAGATTGGTATGGGCATTCAAGAAAAGCCATAAAGTGCAAGCCAGAAGATCTGTAAAAGTCCAAAATCTGCCTCTTACCACATGTGGGTCAGCTTCTTGACATTTCTGAAACCCTGCTGGTTGGTCTCCCAGATCATGGTTCTAGCACCTGCCCTGCTGGGCTCACTGCAGAGGGTTAGGGTGAGGTTTATGTAAACGGAGAACTGTCAACACACCCTGGGGTGTGTTCAGCTATTAAAATCGCCGTCCTTTGGGACCCGCTGGGGGAATGGAGGCATCGGAGAACAGGAAAGCAGCTCATAGATCTCCAGGGTTTCAAGAACTGTGACAGCCAGGCTGGGGGAAAATGAGCCTGTGCCTTCCTCTCTCAGGCCAAGTTCATTCCCAAAGCCATCTGTGCCATCACGTTTGCCCCCGCCCGCTTGGGCTCCAAGAATTCCCGTTTATTACTCCCATGGAGGTGCTTATACTCCTAGGGGTCTTCGGTACTATCCCCAACCCCATGCATTTGTGATCCCGGTCTCCTTGGAAGGCAGGGAGGCAAGTCTCCACCCCAGCGGGTCCTCACATTTCCATGTTCAATGATAGCCTGTCTTAGGGGTTCCAGGTCTGATGAATCCCAGCAGCCACAGAGGACAGGGCGTTGTAAAGAGAGGAGGGGGAATGAGGGCTGCATCTCTGCTGAGTCAGTGGGTGATTGAAAACACAAGTCACGGGTTCCTGACAGTCCAAGACCCTCTTCTGGGCAGAAAATTTTGCTGAGCCCTGCTTCCTCCACGCGCTGGCAGACAGGCCTGCCCCCCCCCCTGCCCCCCGGCTTGCTAAGGCCAGGGCGTGAAGGAAAGTGTGGACTTGCAGCGTGAGAACGCAGTCCGTCAAACATTCCAGCCCGCTAGGTTAAAGACTCTCATTAATCCAAGAAGAGGGTACATTATTTCTGCCATCTCTTCTGTTCATTATTATGTCTGCAGTGACTCAAAGGGTGTCTGGTGCTCACAAACATTTTTCAGATGGATGATTTGAATGCATTTGGGGCGGTGGGTTATGGATCATGGCCCTGTCTGAAAGCGTGGGTTCAGTCATTGCTGAAAGCCCTTTTGAGTCCTATATAGTTTACGGGGTCGTGGAGACAGCCACTGGTGACCGGGGCTCGATGGCTAACAGGATGACGGGACTTCATGGTTCGGAGCACCATCTTCCCTTTTCCTCCTTGCTAGCTATTCAGACAGAAAAGGACCCTCCAAAGAAGGGAGGTAGAAGGACAGAGTGAGGCAGTCAGATGAGAGTCCCAGTATGTGCTGGAGCTGACTCGCCTTCATCGGAGTCTGTCCCGAAATGGGCTCCCTGAACGAAGGTCAGCATGCTGTCCCCAAGGGCAGCAGTGCCTGCTGGGGTGGATGTGTTGAGACCATCGCTTTGGTTTTCTCTTCACACATGTACATAGGTTCTCACCCAGTAGACCCTCGTCAGTGCTCACATAGCCTTGCCCATGCACAGACACATACATGTAAGAACACGCATGCCTCCCCTCTCACTAGGTCATCTCTCACATAGGCACGCTGCCTTTTGTGCAAGGGAAGCCATACTCACCCAGGGTTTCCAAGAGAAGGGAAAGGGAGACAACACCTTCTCTTCCTTTGCTCAGTTTGGGAGGATTTAGACAGGGCTGTGAGTTGAGGCCAAGGCAGGCAAAGGGGAAGGTGTGCTCTAGCTAGTGTGGACATGGAAGGGGACAGTGGTACCTGTCCTTGATCCAAACCAGAGTCACCTGTGGGGAAGGGCTTGGTTGCTAAGCCTAGGGACTCAGTGTAGGGCTTGGGGGTCACCTTACCCACTTCTAAGCTCACATACTAATTCCGGTTTCGTCTCCATTCATGTGGTGGGTTTGCAGAAGTCAGTGGAGCTGGTTTGGGGGTACAGGATGGGACTGGGAGGATGCTCCTCATTGTTAAGATTTTGAGACGGGTAGTTTCCACCCTGAACTCACCACCTAGGGCCCCAATATTTGGACCACCCTTCCAGGAAGGGGGTGTGCAGGGCTCCTCCAGAGCCGAATCTGAGAGTGCTACCCCAGTTCGCCCTGTTTGGAGAGGGAGGATAGATACTCTTTCAGGGAGCTGGCACTGACTTTGGAGTGTGGACCTCCCCCCACCCCTCAAAAGTCCTAGGGTCCCTCACCGGGCCTGCAGGTTGCTAAGTGGGGAGTTGCAGCATTTGTGGAGACTGGGGTGGGTAGGAGCAGCGACTGAGCCGGGTGCACCATGCGCAGGGTGCAAATGCGGCGACTCCCCAGTGGGGCGGCAGACCAGGCACTGCATCGACCTGGCCCCTGGACAGAAGGCACACCAGGGCTTGGCCATGTGCCTGTGCGCCCCGCCGGGCCTCCTGGCTTCTGTGGAGATGCTACTGGCTGCGCCAGCCCCTCTCCTTTTGGATTTACTTGGGAGAGGCCACTCTTCCCGGACCTTTGCAGAGGTGATGGTCCTGTACCATCTGCCTCGATCAGTCAGCCAAACCCGCCCTGCATCCCCTGGAACCTCCAGACCGTTGGCCAGGGTCCTTCCGGCGCCGTCCCCGCCCCCGCCCCTCCCGGCCTCGCCAGCCCCGCCCCCGCTTCCCGTGGAGCCCCCGCACATGCCTCGTGCGAGCTGCTCGCTACTCCACCCCGCCTGCCCGCTCTCCCCCGCTTGGCGGAGCCCGGATCCCGGCTGGCTGTCGGAGTAGAAGAGGAAGACTGAGTCCAGAGCGAGCAACTTTGGTGGACAGACAGCTCCCGCGGCAGGCCACGGCTGAGCTCAGCTGCAACCTGTTCCTCCCTCGCCCAAGTGCTCGCCCGCCTCCCACCCTCTCCCCGCGCAGCCGCGGATCGCTGTTGCATGCTGATCCGGGGAGGCGGCCGCGGCCAGCGCTCCGGGCGGAGGCTGGCACTGGGGCTTCGCTGCTCTCTGGATGCTGTTCAACTTCTCTTCCAGGCGCAGGAGCTTTGAAGGCATTTGTCTGTCTCTGGTTGGATGGACTTCTTCTTTTGATATTCTGGGCGTTGCGGTTTACGCAGGAACCTCTATACGGCTCTTCCCCCCCTCCCTCCCTCTCAACCTTTGGATGCATCTGTACTGGCAGATTTAAAGACCCAAGTCGTGGCTGTGGAATTTCTTGGATGGACTTTGCAGGGGCTGGTGTTCTAAAGCATGTCTCGTCCTTGTCTTTCTGTCGCTGTTGCTGTTAAAGTTCTTTTGTTTTCATTTTGTCCTTGCCCCCACCAATAAATCACCAAACTGTTACCTAGCGGCCGGTGCCTGCCTCTCCCAGGACTAGGTGGTTCATCTGCCAGAAGAGGAGCTATGTTTGAAGAGCAGCCTCCTCCGCCCCTCTCCTCTCCAGCCCTTGAACGCCGCCACCGCACACTGGCATTTTGAAAAAAAAAAAAAAATTGCCTCCAGAAACTGAACCCCCCCCCAGCCCTCTCCTCCCCTTTTTAACTCCTTGAGGAATGGGGCTTTGCAGAGGTCGTATTTAGATTCAACAGTTCAGGGCGGCAGGGTGGCTGCTGCCGCCACCTCTCCAAAGAGCTTCGCAAGGCTCCGCCGATCCCCACCTCGCCCATCTGGATGCGGCTCTGAGTCTCCGTGTGTCTTTCTGCTTGTTGCTGTGTGCAGGTGTTCGGCCGTGATCACCTTTGTGTGTCTTCTGTCTGTTTGGACTTCAGGATGGCTCGCTTCGGGGAGGCGGCGGTCGGCAGGCCGGCGTCCGGCGATGGAGACTCGGACCAGAGCAGGAACCGGCAAGGAACCCCGGTGCCAGCCTCGGGGCCGGCGGCCGCCTACAAGCAGTCGAAAGCGCAGAGGGCGCGGACTATGGCTTTGTACAACCCCATTCCCGTCCGGCAGAACTGTTTCACCGTCAACAGATCCCTGTTCATCTTCGGAGAAGATAACATTGTCAGGAAATACGCCAAGAAGCTCATCGATTGGCCATATCCTTTTTTGCCCACCATAACTCCCCTGTCCCCCTGTGCATTTCTTCCGGTGAGGGGGGAACCAAGCATGGAATTTATCCCCCACTCCCTTCCTGGTGCCAACCTGCCCCTTTGCTAAAGTGCACTCTTTACGCCCGTGCATCTGAGGGGCAAGCGAGGTGCCACAGAGGCCAGGGTGGGCACTGGTGGTTTTCAAGGTAAGATCTCTGCTTTTTGATTTTTCCTGTGTGGCTGTCTCTAGCATCCCTGGGTGGTGGGGTGTTGCAGTTCTGTCTGCTTCCCAGGGACTGCCCCCCAGTCCCTTCGCATTGGACAGGCTGCCCCAACTTCAGGGCTTTCTTGCATACCCAGATCTCCTTCTCCTACCTCAGAGCCACCCCTTGCCTGCATCCCCACCAGCTGGGGAGACACCTGCATGACCTGCCCATGGGGGAGGTCCAGGCTCCATGAGGGGATTTCTTAGTCCAGAAGCTTCAAGAGTGCTGGGCCAAAACCCTATAGACAAATAGATAAAATGAAACAGGCTTTTCCCTGGGGACCCAGCTAACTCTGGGGACTGAGTTGCAGTCCCACTCAGAGTAGAGTGAGCAAGGGGAGGCAATCTCTAATGACACAGCCTGAGCACCTCAGCTGGAGTTCTCTTTGGAGCCAAGGAAGAGCAGCTCACCTGGTCTGCTCCTTTCCTGAGTTCTGGGTTGGGTGCACCAGCCTTTTAATATTGTACTTGACCCCGCTGAGTGCTCTCCCGGGCAGATCTGCTGGGCCCGAATTTCTCAGCTGACGGCTGCAACAGCTGAGCCTGCAGGTGTGTGAGCGACCTGCCTTTCCCTGGCCCCACAGTGAGCTGGTGGGGCATCTTGGACGGTGGCTGTGTCAGGGTGCACCGGCAGGGGAGGAACCTGTCTCTGCAGGTTCGAGCAAGTGCACCCAATGCAGGCTGCTGATTAGGCATCTCCCTGCCTTGTTCTTCAGTAAGAATTTGGGCATCTGGCAAGATCTTTAGGAATTGGAGCTTGGTGGGGGGGTGAGGGGGATTAGTAGGAAGCAAGGCATTGGGGTGGTGGTAAATATGGGGGTAGCTTGGAGACATGGGACTTTGATGCTCGTGGAGAGAGATTTCTTGGGAAGGATGCACCTGCAAAGGAGGCCCCGCCTCTTTTTCCCTCTCCTCCCTCCGCCCACCCCCACCCTCCAGGTGTGCCGGGTCCCTAGTGTCAGCCAGGCTCGCTGCTCACTCCCCTCAGGGCAGGGGCATCTCCCTGCACCCCCCACCCTGGTCTCTGGTCTTCCCTCCCCTCTTCCCTACTTCCCTGCCTCAGCAGCTCTGTGATTGGCTGGAGCGCAGTGCTTCCAGGCAGCACCCCTCATTAGCAATGAAGGAGCATCTCTAAGCAGATATTATTCCTGATGCTGCACGCATCCTCCCACAGCCACCCCTGGCTGGGCTTCCTCTTCCCTCCTTGAGCTCCCCTCCCCCTCCCCCCCACGCGGAGTGATGGGGCCATACGGTGCCTAAGTTAAATGTGTCTAGGGTGGGGGTACTGAGGAGGGAAGGGGTCCGGTTTCTGCAGCCCCGCGTGCTGGTGCGCTGCACAAAGCAAGCAGATCTCCTGTGGTGCGCTGCCGCCGCAAACGCTCCTCCAGTCGGGTCTCTGATTTCCCCAGCGGCCCCTCCCCCGCCCACCTTCTGTAATTCCCTAAAATTTCCCACCCACCAGGTGCTGCTTCAACCGTGGCCCTCTGTTAGGGGCGTGTTTGCTCAGACAGGCGTCCTCGATTTCCTTGTGGTAGACAAAGCCACCCAGCCAGCCCGCAGGTGGCAAAGTGTGCCCGCAGTCATTGTTGGCACCTTGGACAGCGCCGACGAAATTCTCGGGAGGCTTGGGCTCCGCACCCGCCTGGGTTCAGCATCTGGGGCACTTCCGGCCGGGCCCGCCCGGGATCTCAGCACGTTTCCTACACCACGCGGTGGCTGCTGTTCACGTTTTTTTCTCTTCCGCTGTAAAGGCACCGCCTTCCTGCCAGGCCTTGGAAGCGCAAGGTCCGGACTGTGGGTTTTACTCCTTCTTCCCTTTCCTTGTCTCTGGACAGGCTGGGCCCAAAGAGTCAAGAAGAGTCAAAGGGAGGCTGGGGAGTAGGTTTCGGCAGCATGCTCGTAGCCTTGGCTGTGCGCCCGTCCTAGTGGTCCCTTCTGTTCCCAAAGCTGGCAGCTTCCCAGCGGTTCTGCAGCGCGTAGGCGGGTGTAACAGCGTTCAGAGAACACCTGCCAAGGTGTGTAGGGGAGCCTGGTTGGCAGATTTAAAATACACCATGTTTGCTTTTTTCCCCTCTTGGCTGTGTAACGTGAGTAGCTAATGCCCATTCCCTCTGGTGGTGACCACGTGGGAACATGGGCTTCTGTGCCGTCTGCATTTTCTCCAACACCACCTGCATCCAAGTTCCTTCCTGGTCTCGCTTCCCTTCCTTTCTCAATGTCCAGCTTCCCCCGTTATCTTGCTTTCACTTGCTGGGAGTCATAGTGATCTTCTGGTTTTCCAGTGAGGCTTGAGAGCCTGGCTGTCCGAGTTCAGATCCCAGCCTTTCACCTGCTGTGTGACCTTGAAAAGTCACTTCAGTGCTCTGCGACTCAGTGTCCTTTGGTACAATGAGGACGATGATGAGTCACTGGAAGAACTAAATGAGGTACTAGGTAGCAAGCTCCTAGAACGTTGCCCAGTTACTTGGTAAACACTGGCTATCATTACTAGTGGAGTCCTTCAGAAATTTCGGGAAAGGGGGCCTTAGTTCTGGGTAAACTAAGTGTTGTAGATTTTTGCCTTTTCAAAGACAGCAAGGCGTGGCACCCTCATCTCTCTTGATAACAACTCAGAGTCTCAAAGCCCCACTGCAGACTTCCTAACTCATGATGTGCATTTTAATAAGATCCCCAGGTGACTCATATGCACCTTTAAAGTTTGGGAAGCACTTCTCTGCTCACTCTAAGGGGCCCATTTTCGGAAACAGGAAGGTTCAGAAAACCTGCCCAGACCTGCTTTGAACTGACGTGTGCACAAGGTGCTTGAGGGTTCCGATGGTTTGTGCACTGTGCTTTCTGAGGCTGACATGGACATCCTCCGCCGGCTGCAGAGAGCCTCTGGACTTGGGAGGTAGCCTGTCCTTCTGTGCTCTGTTAGTGGCCTCCGCACTGCCTGTCACTGGCCTTTAATCCGATTGGGCTGAAAAGATGAGTTCAGTAAAAGGAATGACTTAATTTATACTGGCAGGACTCTTAACTTGCAGGGAGTAATATTGTCCAGTTATTAATTGGTCAGGTCTAGCTCTTCTGAGAAGAAATGCCCAGGATTGTCCAGATTCGGCATGAAAAATGGTGGCATGGCGAGAGCCCACCCTGAACGTGCTTCATTTTTCTTGGAGGCTCTATCTGCGTAGGGAGATAATTTTATTTTCTTATGGCACTTTCTTTGGCAGAAGAGACCATAACCTTTTTGAAAATGCTAATCCGATTTAAAACGTGGTATTACATTTTATGACATTCCTCCTTTTCTTTTCTTTTTTTTTTTTGCTCATCTAATAGGTCTAACAAAAGGGCTCTCTTTTTCTAAGGAAATTGGCTGCTCCGAATGTCATTCCACGTGCCCTGTGGAATGTTTATGAGGTCCAGCCATCTGTGCCCAGGCCCAGTGACCCCGAGGCACCTCCTGGTCTGCGAGGTGCCTTACATGTGTTCGCACTTTGCCAGGTGGGAAGGTCGAAGGGAAGAAATGATGTGTCTGACTTGGAGATGCTGCTGTTGATGGGCAGGGGGAGATGTTTTCCCGCCGACGGCATGAGCCATTGCAGTGGGGAGCACCTGTTTCCCGTGGATGTGAACATGGTTTGAAGCAGGAAGATCACTGAGGCATCGGAGCTCATTACAGCGACCCTGTGGGTAGTCATCCTTGATTTCTTGTTGCAGAGAATCTCACTGTACCCCCCAAACACCTCTGGCTTTGGGTCAGGATTTCTGTGCCATAGGATGGTGAATTTCCCATTGTAAGTTGTCCATTCATTTTGGAGGGTTTTGGTGAAGATGACCGAAAACTTTAGTTTCCGTAGCTCGCATTTTGGCATTGGCTTTTTCTCTTGCTTCGGTTGCCTAAAAACATACAGTACCTTGCAGGATAGTCGCCGGTCATCCTGGCAGCGATTTCAGGTTTGTTGTAACTAATGCGTCGTGAGTCAGAGTGCCTTGGTTAGGGCAGAGGGTGGCAGCTAACCAGGACAGAGCCTGTAATTATGTCCCATGATCAGATAGTGCAGAAAGGCGTCCCCTGTGCTGCTCACCTGGGCGCGGAGGCAGACAGAGAAACAGCCGCTGTGACTGGCACCGAGGTTGCTGGACAGAAGTCTTCATTTTCTAAGGCTCCCAGGCCGGCCTTCAAGTGGCCTGTTGGCTCTGCCCTTGAAGGAAACCAGGCTGTGGCTCGTTGTGGGGGAACCAGTTGTAATTGGCATGCAACCTGGAAATCGAAGCGGAGTGCAGGCCTTCGACGGGAATGAATGGCTTGAGGATGGCGACAGAAACATCTGGGATGTGGCGGTTTCGTCTGTTGGCCTGCGTGCTGTCACTTCCGCACTGGCTTTCCCTGCAGTGGGCGCAGCCTGTGAATTAGAGGAGGAGGAGGAGGAGGAAGATTCTGAGAACAGGCCTGGTTTTTCATCTTCTTCTGGAAGATCCTGACTCTAGAATTATTAGCTCCCTCCAAAATGGCTTTATCTCTTTTTAGCCGTCGCTGTACAAAATGTAGGTGTTTTCCCTGCCTCACACTCTGCTTTCCCCCGCTTTATGGAAACAGCTGGTTTCTCTCCATCTTCGTATTCTTCCTGAAAATAAAACCGAGTCAATATTTGCTAGGCTTTCCAGCCTCTTGCAAACCCTCGGACTCCCTGTGTTCCGTCAGCCCATCATAGCCTCTCCTTGTCGTTTGCGGCTGGGTTGTTTTGTTTATCACTGACCA